GAAAATTTTTGGCATTTATTTGGTCTTATGTGAGGGGAGAGAAGATGAACTGTTCCCCACACTATTCCAGAGGAAATTTTGGCCACTGAAAATGCCAGCACATTCTGCTCCACTGAATTCCCTTGAGCTGCTGGATAGAAATCCAGTGCCATTCCTGCAGCAGAGTCACAGCCACCCCACAAACCTCCTGACCGCATTTGCTGAGTTGTGTCTTAGTATAAGTTTCCTTTAATCTGCCACTCCTCTTTGGTGCTGTTTGGTTTTAAAGCAAGCAAGAAAAATTGATAATTACAAACCTGATCCAGAGTCCACTGGGTTCAGTAAGTAGTTTTCCACTGTATGGAGCTGGACCAGAGCACCCTGGGGTTGTTGCTGTGCTTCAAAAGAAGCATCCTTTGTAACTGTAGGAAAGCACAGGTAGGTTTCTCTGCACAGCAAAACCAAACAAGGGTCTCCTGTGGAGTTGTACAGATTTCATCTTCTTGTAATTGAATTATTTTCTCACTTCTGTTCCTTACTCTGTGTTGATTAGTTGACTTTAGCCAATTCCATTTCTTTCCTAAGAGAAGACTCAGACCTGAGAAGTCCAATGTGGCTTGGGCAGAATAACACTGCTTGGTCTTGGCTGGTGAAGGAAAAATTTGAAGTCACCCATGAATCCCTTCTTGCACAGTCCAGATTGCACTGGTGCTGCATGTGCCCCTCTGCCAGCCTGTGGCAAGGCAGGGATGTCTCACTGCTCCCCTGTCACTGCCTTTACTGCCCTTTATGGTCAGTTCTTAGCTCTTTGCTAGTTGTGTTTTCCAAAAAACCCAGCAGCTCCACCACCCGAAGCTTCATCAGTGAAGGGGAAGGAGCTGCACAGCTCCAGCCTCCAACCCAGGACATGCCCCAGCACTGGGGAGGGGGGAGGCTGGTACCTGTTTAGCCAGCCCTTCACCCCAAAAAGCCATCCTTGCTTTGCACTTCCAGCCTAGTGACAACACAGCAACAGCCACACACGAAGGTGAAGGGTGACCAGCACAGGTTGCCCTCCCAGAAGAGGTAGATAGTCTTAGGGTTAAAGGCAGAGGTGAGTCTGGATGCAGTGCAGAGGGGGGAGGGTGTTGCTTCGGGAGGTGGAGTTGTGGGATTTCTCTTCCCCTCACTCAGAGCAAGTGAAAGGCTCAGGCTGAGAGTGACACTAATGAGCACATTTGGGAGAAGAAAATGAAGAAGGGACATTATATAGAGAGAAACTGCCTTTTGGCTGGCAGCTCAGGGCTCTCCAACCCTGCCTGGGAAGGGAAAGCTCTGAATAAGAATGTATCAACTTTTGTAACAGTCCAGCTGGTCTGTTCAGACCCTCCCAGGCCATCTCACCTGGTTACAAATGGTACCTGCTTTCCCCAGAGAGATCTGTTCCTGAACGCTAAAAGTTTACCCTGGACCTTATTTGGACCCTCTAAAACATATTGCTGGGCTGCAATAGCTGCCCTGCTTTTGTCCTTCCTACCGACCCCCGAGCCCCTGTTTCCAGCCCCGCCAGGGTCGCCACCCTCCCCACTCCCCGTCCCGCCGGCTCCGTTGGCATCTAATGGTACCGGGGCCCGTGGGTGATCCCTTATCTCCCAAGCAAGGAAGGGAAGGAAGGGAAGGTGAGGGGGTGAGGAGGCACCGCGGCTCTGCTGCTCACCCAGGTGAGGACCTGAGGCTCTGGCAGCACAGAAAGGGATAGGGAGCCCCTCAAACCCATCCTTGGGTCATGGAATCGGTTTGGGTTGGAAAAGACCTTTAAGATCAAGTCCAACAGTTAAGCCAGCACTGCCGAGGTCACCACTAAACAGTCTCCCTCAGCACCACATCTAGGGGCCTTTAAGTGCCTTCAGGGATGGTTACCACACCAGTGCCCTGGGCAGCCTGTGTCAGGGCCTGACAACCCCTTCAGTAAAGAGTTTTTTTCCCTACTATCTGACCTAAGCCTCCCCTGGCACAACTTGAGTTCATTTCCCTTTGCTCTGTTGCTTTTTACTTGGGTGAAGAGACCAATACCCCCTCACCACAGCCTCCCTCAAACTCAGGCTCTTCAGTTGACAAAAACAACTCAGTGACTGCCTGGGGTTTTGTCATATATATATATATATATAAAAATAACATTCAGCTCTTTCTGCTTGAACTCCCTGCTGGGGGCTTGTTTGTTTTACTTCCATGTTGCTTTTCCTCAATACCAACCCCTGTTTGTTTGTATTCTTTCCCACCATGAATCAACCCTTAACAAACCCTACATGACACAGGACTGTGACCTCCTTTATGCAGCCTAGGTCCGAGGGAAGCTCAATGGCTTTAACAGGGTTGGCCTGTTGATTAAGGAGGACAGCAAAGGTATTGCCTTCTTGTTGTTTCTCCCCAGCAACCAAAAATCTCATTTTGCCTTCAAAAACAATTATTCTCTGTCTCAGGAGGAGCGGATGAGTCAGTAGGAGCCAGCAGCCCACACTGTGTCAGTATCACCTTCTGTCCTACCAGAGATGCTGCCTGCAGCTCCTGTAGCCATGAAGTTCTTTGTTGATACTATGATTCAAGAACAAACCTAAAACCCAACTCTCTTCCTTGGAGACACCAAGATGACCTGCTATGAAGCCTGGACCCCCACAGGGTGGCCCTCACCCTGTTAGCAAGAGGTTCTGTGGCACCATCTTCCCAGACAACGCGGATCCCCTGCCAAGAACAGTGGCTGGGAAAGGGTGACAACAAACAAAAAAACCCACAAACACAAGTACCTGTGAAATACTGATTATATTTCTACACTTTTATAGCAATATAATACTTCATATGAGACTGAGAAACATACTTTCAAATATTTTAAGTTACCTGTACACCTACCTAACCTGCTTATGGCACAGGAAATCCTTGTTGCTGCTTATTGAAATCCATGACTTACCAGTCCCACAGCAACATAATAAACACCCACAATCCCATGAGCTTATCTTTTGCTCTGGAAACAACACACTCAGATAAAGCTAGTTTTATAAACACTAGAATTGCCTTGCAATATCCATATATATTAAGAAAAACATCTAGCTTTCATAAATACGCCATACATAAAATATGTTCCCAAAATACATTCATGCATTTTCCCCACTGAAGATCCCTGCTCGTACCCAAAGTATCTGGAAGCTGGGAAAGGCAGTTGTTGGGCAAGGCCTGGAGAAAGACTGGTGTTTTCAGGTGGCTCCAAACCCAGGTGGAGGCTGTGAAGAAGCCTTTGGTGTTGGAGTTCATTTCTGCATCAGTGGGTCTAATCCTGCCTCCCTGGAAAAAAGAGGGGTCTCCTGCAGGCTGTGCCCCATCAAAGCTGCACCAGCTGCCAGTGTTCAAGCACCAAAAAGTCACCCTGACCATTTCTAATTTTTCCAGCAGTCACTGGAGGTGCTCAAGTCTCTCCCAGCACTTGACAGAGGCCAAGAAACAAGAGCTTTGGAAGTGGAAATATCACTACCAGACTTTGGTGGAAGGGAATCTGTGAATTGAAGAAGGTCCTTTCTTGACTGCCACAGACCTAAAGATTGACCACATTCCCAGCACCACCATCCCTGTCTGCAACAGGAATGACTTTGCCCCTGCTCTGAGAATCAGTTCTTTGCTAACAAAGGAAACAAATGTCCATCCTGTGTCCATTTATGAACACATAACCACACAAAATATACAAAAATATCTACAAAGTAATTCTAATTAGCATCTGGCACACAAGAAGTGCCAGTTTTGCAGCTCAATAATGTAGGTCCCGTCCCCAAGAACATGGTTTATCCAGTGTAGGACTCCAGGGGCCAGTCACAGCCTCCCCAGAGCCATACCTGGCTAGCGTGGCTGTGCAAACACAGGCAAACTAAGCACTAACCTCACCTGATCTGGGTTGAGAGGGAAGCCAGACATACCTGCCCAAATTCCACGTTTTCCCCTCAGAAAGGTCCTGGTCAATAATGCAAGTGCACATTCAAAGGTCATTTTGGGGATGCTGCCCTCTCCATGTGCAAACAGGCCAGCAACCAGACAGCACCCTCTTTCCACAGGATGTCAGTCTTTAGGAAAAGCAATCCCCTAAGCCAGTGGTCTAGAGACAAATGAAATTCAGCCTGACATTTCTCATCAACCCAAGCTTTGTCTTTCCAGAGGGACCAAAGAGAAGCATTGCATAGATCTGTACCTCATGTCTTCCCACACCCAACAAACAGCAAGAAATCAGTTCAAGTTTTGCACAGGATGTTACAAAAGGTATTGTTAAACAACACAAGAAAAAATAAGTGAAGTGTCACCACGGTGTAAACTGTGCAAGGAAGTGAGGCAGTGAAGGTACAGAGCTCGGCAGCCCCAGGGCTGCCTGGCTGCCTGTAGTGTACTGAGAAATTTGCCAGGCAAATCTCATCTCAAACCTGCCTCCCATTGCACAGTCACATGGATTTGCATAATTAGATAACTTGCTCCTGAACAAAAGGAGCAATGCTGCGTGTCACAGGAAGAAGGAGGACACTGTTGGGGCCATCCACTTTGCATACAGTAATTTAAGAGCCAGTTGTCCCCTTTGCAACACAGGCTGCAGGGCAGCAGGGCTCTGTCCAGGCTTGGGAAGTCTCAACAGAAGTTTTGCTACAGTTGGCTCTACAATTAAGATATTAGGGACCAGATCTTCTGGTGATTTACACTCCCCATGCTCCATTGGAGTTACTGGTGCATATTTCCACGAGTGGAGAATGTGGTCCTTGCTTGTCACAGACATAGAATAAAGCTAGAGTAGCCCTTTCTTTAAATTAAATAAAATAACTGCTTATGGCATCAACACACATTTTTAAATGTGCTTCTGCTGTTAAGAAAATAGCAAGCACACCAGTGGTTAATTAAATTACTTCTCCTGAATTAAAAAAAAAAGTGATTAGTATTACTATTAATTTAACCCCCCTCGGGGCTGCATAACATCTTCCCATTGAATATTAAAGACTGAAAAAGTCACTTCCAGGTGCACAGAGCTATACATCCTCTTCAACAGGCAGTGAAGGTTTGTGTTCCCGGAGGCCACAGTTGCCATTTTCAGACACATCTGAGCTGCCTGGAGCCGACTCCGCTGGTGGGGGTTTGTAGAGTAAACAGGCAACTACAAAGAAGGTTGTCCCAAGAACCTGCAGCCACCAAGACATCCTGTTACTCTCTGCTCCCCCCAAAACCAGGCACCCAGCCCTCACTTGGGATGAGATCTGCTGACCAAGCTTTGAGGAGATGATGCAGACCAGATGCAGACCAGCTGGGCAGCAGACCAGCTCACAGAGCTGAAGTGGGTAAACATCTGAATTTAGCCATCCCGTAGCAATGGGACAGTGAGAATCTGCAAAGCTGCTCAGTCCCAGATGGATGCCTGGAGCACAGCAACCTGCAGACTGACACTGCCCCAGCCACTTGCTGGAAGGCTTTTGAAAGCCTCTTTATCACAACAATTGCTAAACACTGCTATCCAGGGCAAGTGGATTTGGGAGCAGTCAAAATTATGCAGGAACAGTCAAAACTATGGTTTTCAGCTAATAAGTAAGAAATATACAGCTTAGCTCTCTTATTTTCTAGCAGTGACTGGGGACCAGTTATTTACAGCCTGCCCAGGATGCCACCCCTCTCTCTCACTAACATGCTGCAGTTCTGTATTTTACTCCATTTCTAGCAAAAATTCCCTTTGCTAACTGCTGGGAGGAGATATTTGATATGGTGCAGCAGGAGCTGGAAGCCTAGGAAGTCACGGCAGTTTAAGAGAATGGTGGTGCCTGGAGCACCATCACCTGGCAAGAAGCAAACGGAGCTTTTGCCTTCCCTGAGAACATTTCTTGTGTGAAGGTCTAATCTGGGCCGGGGGTCAGGACAACCCAATTTTGTAAAATTCTCTCCCAGTGTCTCCTAAAGACCTGCTTGTTTTATCAGAGAGTGAAGTTATGAGGCAGCATCACCTTGTAGACCAGGCCAGCGATGAGGGTATAGCGGCTCATGGCTGAGTTCTGGTAGACGTAGCATGAACCTTGCTCACCACACTGGTCCTGCCAGAGCAGGCAGGATTTATCAATCATGGACCCGAAGGCAATGGGGCCAGGGATGCCTCCTGTGGAAAGAGAGAGAGGACCTTCACTTTAGGCAGAGCTGAGGCACCAGCGTTTTAAGACATGAAGTGCTTGCAGAAAGCATCAGTCTCTGCTGCAACCCCTACAGCTGTAGGTATCCCAAATACACTGACATTCAAGATCTGAGATTTCAGAGGGTCTTCTCACCATCCTGACCTACATGTTGCACAGGAGACAAGAGACAAACACAGGAACCTCAATGTCTCTGCTCCTTTTTTTTTCTTAAAATAAGGACAGGTTGCTCAGACTCAGCTCTTCAGCTCCACCTGTGAGATGTTACAGGATCCTTCAGTTTGCCATCACATACAAAGGGAATTAGGTTTTTCTGAATAATAGCAAAAAAGAGAAAACATCCTCCTTCCAGCAACATGTCCTCTACCCCCTTTTTTTGCAACCTGTGTTTTGTCATGTTATGCCTAGGTAACAGCTTGGCACACACTCCACATGGCCCACAGACCCCATGGATGCTCAGGTTCTCCCTGTTCCATACCTAGTGTTCGTACCACGATCCACTGGATCCCAAGTGCAAATGACCTCTGCCTGTCAGAGACACACCTGGGGAACAAAAGGGGTCTGTTTAAAAATGCTGCCAGGCTGCATGGCACCTCCCTGCCCTGTGACACCATGCACTCAGGTCCAGCATGCTTGTGTCCTCCACCCCCTCTGGAGATTGAGGTTCACCCCAGTGCAACACCCCTCCACCACCGCTGCAAACTGGGACACACATGTGGGTGCCCAGTGTCAGAAAACAAGGGTGTCAATGCTAAAATTTGCTTTCCCAGCTAGACAGGGAATTTATCAGAATGTCTCCAGGCTGCCAGTAGTGAGGTGCTTCCCATCACACCTTCCTCATGGCTTGAGCCAGGAGGATAAAGAGGAAAGGTGAATTCTTGTAGAGACAAGGTCATCCTGTGCTTACCGCAGAGTGGCGGTCAGGGCAGGAATACTGCTCAGGAAGGTGAAGAGAATCACCACAAACATGAAGAACAGGAGCAGGGGCCTTTTCTCACATGAGGAGGTGCATTTCCCTGCCTCTGCATTGCCGGGGCCAGGCAGGAAGGTTTTCTCAATACAGCTACACTCATGATAGACCTGGGAAAGAAAGGTCAGTGGGTGGTTTGCCAAGCAGTGATAGCCAAAGCTTTAAAAAACAAAAGTCAGGGAGGACAGAATCCAGCTGGTTTACACATCTGGAGTGAAGCAGTAATCAAGCTGCATTCTTGACACACCTCTGTTTTAAAACAGGTTGTTAAATAAGGGAAATTAACTTTGCCAGGCAGCCCTTGAACACTGAATGTCATTGTTACCCTTCTTGGGCCTTTGCCTGTCAATATGAGCAACATGCTGGAAGGATGAGGAGGTGCATCATTTTCATTCAAGGCCCACAACAAGATTTGGGACAGGAATTAGGTGCCTACCAAGCTCCCTGCCTGCCTGGGAGATTTAACATGGATTTCAGGGCAGTTTGACCTGGAGTGAGGCAAAACTGGTTGAACACATGAAGGATACAAACCAGCATGACCTGAGAGCATCCATCCTGCACTGGCTTTTCCACTGCTTTGCAAACCTGGGGACACTTTTGCAGAGCCAGCCAAATCAGTCCAAAGGTGTGCCACCACCCTGCAAGTACACAGTGCTTTCAGACATACCTTCTTGCCATTCTTGAGGTTTTCAGATACTTTTTTGCACCCAGCATGGCAGGGGGAGTAATACATAATGCCATCTCTCCCACAGACAGGGCTGTAGGTCTCCTGGCGACAGCCACACTCAGCGTTGCAGGCTGCTGTCAGGTTTAGGTGGCCACCAGGCAAAGCACTAAGGGAAACACAGAAACAGTCAGTGGGGAGACACAGAACAGCATTTTTCAGGAGGAAGTGGGTAGAACAAGAGAAGGATAAAGGGAGATTGTAAGAGATGTGGTGGATCACCAGGTAGCATAAAGCCAGGCTTGGGAAGGGCTTCATCTCACCCAATTTTAACCATGAAGAGGAATTGTGCCCTGGATCTGCCTCTATGCCACAGCTAGCAAGGGAGTTTAAGTAACCAGCTCATAGGGACACACCTCCATTTGGAGAGGAGATTCCCTCTTTTAGCCCAGGGTATCCCACTGATAGAGATGGGGGACCTGTGAAGGAAACTGAAGAGCAGAGCATCTCACTCTAGTGCTACTGGTCTCCCTTCCCTCACTGAAGAGGAAACCTCTTCCACAAACTCTAACTAGATGCAAAAATTAGGACATCTATCCTCTGGATCTTACCCTCAGTGCCTGCCTTTAAGACTGACTGGACATGATTCCCAACACACTCACACCTGACTACCACTAGCACTGTGTATTTGGAGTTATTCTCCTATTCTGACCAGGGCCATGCAGCACAAGACAGATAGGATGGTTGTTCTTACCTTCCCTCATACATCTGGGTCACTCCTGCCATCGGCACATTAGGGCAGTGAATAAAAAAAATGAATATAGCCAGCAGGCTGGACACTGTGCAAAGTAAACACAACTTGATGATTCCTGAACATCGGAGTTTAAATTTATTCACAAGGAATCCTCCCAGGAATGTGCCTCCCCCTCCAGCTGGCACGACCAAATAACCTGAAAAAGAGGAGGGAAAAAACCCCAAACATGCAAGTTTAGAAATGTCAGCAAGGAGCTTTTGTGTCTAAATACATTAACTGCAGCCTGCCTGCATGAGAATAACCCCTCGTTTTGCTGCATGGCTTCTTGGTGGAAGTTCAGTGGACTTTGCTACAGTAGGTGGTCCTCCGTAACAGCTCAGGTATCATGGCACAAGCCTGGTAAGGCAGCTCTTCCTATCAAGAGATCTTAAAACTGACTCTGAGGGCCACATCGTGGGTACTGATGCTTGGACACCACTTCCTCAGCCTGCGATACGGCAGCTCAGCCAGGATCTCCCCACTTCTGGGATGCTGACAAATACATCCCCCAGTTCAGACATCCCTTGTTAGAGGCAACATTTAGTTAATGTTTCCTCATAATGGACTAGAAGGAACAGACTACAATTATTTTGCCTTCCTCTAGAGGGTAACAGCTGGCTACAAAAGTGACACATTTCCTCTTGATGTCAGTAGATACAGCTCTGAAAAAGCAGCTGGAATAGATGAGCTGATGGGAAACAATCCTGTCTAAGAGCTGAAGCAGATGACTGGTCTGTGAATGAACTGCAGAGCCTTCTTGTCTCCATTCTAAAGGAGCTACAGAGCTCTTGTCTTTGTAGGCAAAATAGGAAGACATTGCAAAAACCTGGTTTCCTTACCAAAAAAGGTAGCAGCCTCAGAGGCACTTAAACTGAACTGAGACTCCAGGAACTTGGGCCCAAATGTGGACATCCCAGCAATGAGGGTGGCTTCAGTTGCTCCCGCTAAGCAGAGGAAGATGAAGGTGGGGTTCTTCAGAAGCAGCAGTACTGATCTGGGAAAGGCAAACATACTGGAACTGAATCACTGTGGCACATTTTGATTTCAGGTCTGTCCCCTGTCTTCAAGTCAGAAGGGCCCTGTGCAAGAGGAGGCAGAATCCCATCATGCTGCTTCTTCCCAAAAAACAAAACCACAAAAGGGAGCTAATGGATTTTGAAGAGCAGTGAGCTTCTCCACTTAGACTTACTGAGTCCTACAAGCCAAGGAAGGATGCTGAGGGTACTCTCACCTCTCCTGATGTACCTGCAGTGAGATATCAGTGCTTTGTGGAGACAGTCTCCATTGTAGATGGAGGTCAACAAGTCTGCCTTCAAACTTTGCCTTTATATGTAATGTCTCTTATGCACCAATCTGCTCTGGCTCTTATTCCAATTGGTTGTTGTCCTGACTGTCTTCAAGCACCTAACACATGCTTAGAGAATAATCTGAGTATTTTCCATTCCTGGAAGGACACTACTCCTCACCAAATCTCCATCATTTCAAGGATTTATCAGTCCCTGATGGCTGTTATCTTGGGCTTCCCAAATCAACTGAGAGCAGGGAACAAAGCTGTGTTACATCCTCACATACACACGTGCTCCTCATGTGCACCCACCTCTTCCTGAGAATACCAATCTCTGATAACCCTGGATGTTTTGCAGCTCAGAGGAAATACCAAGCAAGCCTTTCTGTATGGAGGAAACACTTCCAAGACACCTTCTAGCCCACAGAAACCCATCTTTCTCCCACAATCTAAGCATAGTTTTACGTTAAGCTTAATGTATTTGCTCGACTTACACGTTTTAATTTCAAGCCAGCAGGATTTAGGAGAGAGCCACAGATATGCCTGAAAAATTGCCATGTGTCATTTATATGCAGAAAGATGATCCAGCAGTGATTCCATCTCTGAGACACAGAAACACCCTCGGGCACATGGGATGGTCTCAATTACCTCTCACTTGCTTGGATATTGGACTAAGAGGGTTCACACAACTTTCCACGAGGCGTTTTGTAATGAACTGGAAATTCTGCTACACGACTTTCCCCCAGACCAGTACCACAGTTCATCCCATTCCTGAGACAGGCACAAACCTGGGATCCTGCAGCAATGGCAGGGACAGGGATGCCGTGAGATGCTGGCTGAACTGAAAGGCACAGTCACTTCCCACCTACTGCTTTGGAGGAAATGTGACATCAGAGAAAACCAACTGTAGTACAAACAAGTGAGAGACGTGCTGAGACTCAGCACCAGATTTATGCAACTTTACCCACATAAAGTGAAGAATTTCTTTATACCATAAGAACAAGGAAGCCAAAAGACTGAAATACCACACATTCTTACACCTTGATTACAGGCGACTTTACACTAACAATTGCCTAGTTGTTGGGATTAGTTTAGTTTAATTAACTATTTTCCTGAAATGATCTTTTCAACTGTGCTTTGTTTGGAAGCACAAAATGTAATCTCTTAGTGAGAACACACTTGTGGCTGAGGCCACACAGTGCCTTCACCTTTTTAGAATTCAAGAGAGAAGAGAAGAGGAGTTGTCCTCTGGCACTAGTGTGACTTCATGCCTGTTGGCCAAAGCTCACAGGTAGGAAAATGAAGAGGGATTCCTTTCAGCTCTAAGAGTAAGGATTTACTCAGGCAATTTAATCTGTTTACAGACAGAAGACGTAGTTGTGAGGAGCTATGGTATATGCAAAGTCAACATGGACCTTTTTATTGCTACCAGAAGGACTGCAGTCACACCCAGAAAACACCTAACTCTTGAACAGTCTTGTCTGTTCTTAGTTCTGGCAGCCAAAGGGATTTCAGAAGGCTCAGTACTTCCAAGAGAAGAATCCCACCACCTATAAAAGCCTGATCCTGCAAGTCTTTACTGCTATGGGCACATATGGGTACTTTTTCCTCAGGTAATGGTCCTGCTGTGTAGGTTGGGACCACCTGTATCAGCAGAGCCTGCTCCTCTGAGGAACACCTACATGGCCAGGGTACTGTAACAGAGTATGACCACAAGCTAATGAGTCAGTAGTGGCAGACAGATATTTATGCAATCTTAAGAGCGTGTGAACAGGGACTCTTCCAGCACAAAGTGATCCCTGCTGTCACCACCACCAAGGGAACAGAGGGCAGTATGTATGTCCTGCAGGAATGTAAACCCACCTGCCTTTACAACACACAGAAGCTGTGGAAAAACTGTGAGACAAACAAAAGCCTCATCCTTCCACCTAATCTGAGAGGGATGAGTGAAATATTGGCCATAGCTTCTCATGTTGAAGATCAGACCTTGACAGTGAGTGATTTTCACAAACACTGTCCCACAGCTCACTGGGCCAAAGCCTCCTCTCCTGGCACAGCTCTGTGTGTCTTCTGTTGGAATCCCTCTGTGCTAACAGCAGGGAGTATTTCATGAGAGCAATCCTACAGAACTAGAGAAAGGAAAAGGCTATTTTATCAGGCCTTTTCAACTGAAGAATTAGACAGAAGTCTTTTCATGGCAGAGGATTAAGCTGTACAACCTGCATCCCTGCAAGCTCCTGCTCTTCAGCAGCACCGTGAATACAGCAATTCATTAAGCTCACTTAGAAAGGACCTGACACCATGGAATAGTATTTTATTTCATCAGTATTTCTGTTTCTCTTTGTGAAACTCCTACTGTCTGTACTGCAACAAAATGTGCAGTGCCTAATCCCTTACTAAAACAAAAGCAAGAGTGTCCTTTGGCCTTGCTCTCCAGCCTGGTCCATGTGTCCCCAGGAGCTGCACACACAGATGTGATCTTCTCTTTAATGCAAGTTTCCAGAATAGAAACCCTTTAAGGCACTTCCCTTTTACTAATCAAAAGCAGGGAACACAAAAGTCTGTTGGGTTTTTGCTTTCAAACGAAAGCCACACTAAGGTCTGGACTGATCTGAATTGCTTGATACCAGTTGTTCACCTTCAGATGTTTGTTCTTCAGGAGCAAGTTGTGAGAGAAGATGCTCCTGGGGAAGGATTGCCTCTGTACCTGTCACTCTGGCAGCCTTCACCAAGGAACAGTGGGAGTTTTGTTCCAGATCAGCAAGAAAAGCAAGAAAAGCACCAGCCACTGAATTTCACCCCTCTCTACTGCCCTGTTTGTCTTGGTTTCAGTCATAGCCTCACCATTATTTAAATGCAGGTTTTGAATTCAATTTCCGTGCAGAGAATAAACCATGACCTCGGAAAATGGCACCCAGTCAAGAATGCCATTTAATAACAGTATTGAAATCTGCTCTATCTCATATTCTTCATAAAACTGCCTTAACCCCTGGTAAACTTCCTACCAAATCTCCAAGAAATTCAGACCAACGTGAGTTGACACAACACAGAGCAACTGCTGCTGAAAACTCCCAAACTGAGCACCTGCTTCACTCCTCCCCTGCCAGCACAAAGGCAAATTCCACATAGGAGGTTCAGGAGTAGTTGCTGGCAGCAGCCCAGGGTTTGGCAGCACTGAATGTTTACCTTTGCATGGAGCAGCCATCACACGAAGATGTAAACTCCTCCCAATAAACAGTGCTGGGAGAAATATGAAAAAGAAAACCCCCCTTATTGATGGCAAGCTCCCAAAGCAATTGTCATCCAGCCATCTTTGCAACATCCACAGCTTGCACAACAGCTAAAGCCAAGCTGCAAATAAGGCAGCACCTCTACCCTGCCTCCCTTGGAAACACAACTTAAAACAAACAAAAAAGAAATCATGAAAGATTTCAAAGATCCATACCAAATATTTCCAGGTGAAAAGAGCATATCTTGCTTTGGCCACCCACATGTTCCCACCCAGAATTCCTTTGAACCACTTCCTACCAAACCTCCCACACCACATTGCCCTGGGGTTACCCACGCTGCTGTGTCACTGCTTTGCTGGAGAGAGAAGAAGTAGTAACACATAATAGGTGGCTGGAAGATGCAAGGCAAAAGAAAAAAAAAAAAAAAGACAACTAAGAATAAAAGAGGAAGGGAACTGAAAGCTACAGTGCAGGATATCTTGTTCCCTGGATTTGGAATGGAGCTGTAAGAGTCTGGGTTCTGTTTCCTCTCTTTTCTCATGAAAAGGACAAAACAGATCTAACACAAACAAAAACAGAGGAAAGGAAAAGCCCCAAGGGGACAAAGAGGAGGAGATGTTGAATAACACCAAGCTGGTCCAGGTGAGGCCAGACATGAGCAGGCAGGAAGAAATAACGCTGCTGGGGAGAGGGAACGAGATGGCAACACCTGCGCATCTCCCATCGTCTCAAGGCTGGCGCCAGCCCTCTCCTGGTGCAACTCAGCACATTGCCTAGGGCTGCAGGTGGACTCCACACATGGATGTAAGACAAGGCCAGCACCTTGTCCCCTGCTCTACCACATGGTCCCCAGCACAACTACTAGTCCAGCCCAATTTCTGAGAGCTTCCAGATGCTGACAGGACCAGGTGCTTTGCAACCTTCTCAGCAAGAACGTGTCATTGCCAGGTTTGAGGATTGGCAAAACCTTTTAGCTGGTGTCACAAAAGACAAGCTCAGTCTGGGCCACTCCTCTTGCTTCTGGGGAGGGCTTCCTGAACCTCTGGGGGGTTTCTCACCGAGGTAGGTCTTTAACTGTTTTCCCAAAGTCAGGATCCGATGCTTTTTTGTGACTCCCGTCTTTTATCTGATGAGCCTCTGAGACCCTCATGACGATGTACCGCTGGGATCCTGGAAACAAGAGGCACATGGGAACAAAGAGCAACGTGAGACACAGGATGTGGATGCTACCAAAACGGTGGATTTGCAAGGGGAAAATGCAACATGACATCCTCCCTCCACCAGTGACTGCAAAGAAGGAGCAGGGAAACGGGCAGCTGGAAAGCCAAGGGGGTGAAATCCATGTAGGAATTACAGTTTAAGCACTGTAAGCTCTTGCTCTGCTCCTGTGCCCCCAGCTACAAACATGCACAAACATGCAAGCCTCAGGGCCAGCACGATTCCCACACAGCCCCAGCCCCAATTCCCTGGGACCACCTACCTGGGAGGCGCTGGGGATACCCCAGGATGGGGATGGAGATGAGGAGGGAGGCTGCTCCAGCCCCAAGGAAGCCGATCCACCAGGCCCCCACCCACAGCGTGTTCTCCGGGGTGATGTCAACCCTGCAAGAAATGAAGGCAAGAGGACACAAGAGAGAGACTGAGTGGGAAAGCTCAGCGTGCCTCTCACTGAAGCTGGGGGGCCCAGAGGACATGAGGGGAACATCAGTGAAGGAAATGAGGTCTGGCCTCTCCCATGGTGATCTGCTGGGGATGCCACATCCAACATCCCTCCTGGCACAGCAGGGCACTGCCTGCCCTACTGGAGAGCACAACACTCAATGAGCCTTTGAAACTACATGGTTTAATTCTGCTTTAATCTCTAGCTTGCACATTCATCTCTCCTCCTTTCATTTGCGCTTTGGGGTTGATATGATCCTTGTCCCTCCCCAGAGCTACTCTGTGCAAGAAAACAGGGGGAAATCATAGAATCACAGAATGGTTTGGGTTGGAAGGGACCTTAAAGATCACTTAGTTCTAACCCCTTGCCACGGGCTGAGACATTTCTCAGTAGACCAGGCTGCTCAAAGCTCTATCCAAATAACCCATTCCATCCCATGGAAACCAGCTCCCCCTTTTAAACCCATTCTTCTGCCAAAGAGCCTGCAAGGAGATAAGCATAAATTACACATACTCAGAAGTAAGGAGGGACTAAGCATCCTGGCTGGATTACCAGGACAAGCAGCACTAGCAGTAGCTTGGCCATATCAGGGAACTCATTCAAAAAATTCACCCGCTGCTTGTAGCCTCATTAGCACAGGCAGTGCAGTGGGAAGAAGGATTTAAGCTGGCAGATTTGTCAGCAATTTTCTTCCAGCAACAGCACTCATGCAAACCACCCTTCCAGCCTCAGCACCCCCACAGCAACACTGTTGAGCAGCACGGACACGTTTCCACCCAGCCACCAAGTCACTTCTGCAGATTACTATTGTTATTTTTTTTACCCCAATGGAAACATACAGCACAAAGGAAAAGGAACAAGATTATTTGTTAACAACTTACTCTCTGCCAATTTCAGTATAAATATTTAGAAACATTCCTCCTACCAGATAACCCGCTGCAGGCCCAAGGATTGCAGCAGTGTAGAAAACAGCTGAAAGGGAAAACAAACAGTGTCAGACAAATAACAAAGTTTCAGAGGCAGGGATGCTGCAGAGCACCACTGCCTGATTCCCTCCTGGATCTGGGATGCTCAGCCTCCTGCTGCCTCACACCCTTCTCCCCAGGCCAGTCCCAAGCCAAGACAGACAGCTTTAAGAAGACTTCATCTCACATGTCCCAGGGGAACTTTTGTATCCAACTTGGGAATTTTTGTAGCAAAACTGTGGGTCAGTGGAAAACCGTATTTGTGTAGCTACTGTTTTATCACTTAGCAGGGATGTAGATGACCCTGCTGTTACATCCCAACAGCCAATGTGCTGACTGTTGTCTCCCTGTGGACAATGTGCAACATCTACACTAAACATGGCACCACTGCCACTTATTTTGATTCGCTGCTGTGGAAAGATCATCGACTTATTGATGATCTCCTCTTCCAATATGGGAGACTGCTAAAATTTGACATTGCTGAAAGGTCAAGGTCAGGCCTTTTAGCAATGTCACCCAACAGGACTGTAAGTGTCTGGCAATGTAAGTAATCAGTGACAAAGAGCAGAGGAGCGAGCTGAGCCTCTTTCCCCAGTGAAGCCTGCCTGTGCTTTGCTCCAGCAATATCTGAGCATCCCAGTGACTGTCCCTGGCACTAAAGGGCTGATGTCTCCTTGCACAGATGGGGTATGGCCTTATGGTTGTTTGCCAGAGATGCTAATGCCACATAGGGGCTGGGGCACGTTCTCCCCAGCCTGGTCCTGGGCCTCCTGATCTGCAGGGCATGGGCTGCAGGAATGAAATACCCAGCTGCACTTACAGCTCCTGCCTGTAAATAATCAAAACCACCCCAACAGCTGCTGCTTCTCTCTGGTTGCCACCTCACTGGCCATCAGGAAGGAAAGCCTGGGAGCACCTCTGGTGAAACAGCTCAGTGTGGGCCATTGGGTGCCAAGGCAGAGGGACCAGCTCTCCCTCCCACCACCCAGCCCAGGGCCCCGAGCTGCCCTTCCAGCTCCACTCACCAATGTACACAGGGGAGTAGTTAGTCTTGACATTTTCATCTAAATAGGTGACACCGAGCGTGTAGAGCGGTGTGGCTCCCATCCCAGGCAGGAGCTGCCCCAGCATGAAGACAAACCTGTAGCCAGAGAGGCTGGAGCCAGCCTGGGCACAGGGCAGGCTCTGGTTGCCCCCACAGACCCCGACCTCCACCGCTGAACGAGCCTCGTACTGTCCCGTGGTGAAGTGGGGCAAGGCGAAGAGCAGGGAGCCCAAGCCCATGACCAGCACACCCCAACCCAGCCACCGTGGCTTGTGGCCGTTGCCCCCAAAGTAGCTAACGAAGGTCAGGCAGATGCAGGCAGCGATGTCGTAGGAGCTGGCGATCAGCCCGCTCTGGTAGCTGCGGAGGTCGAAGCGCCGCTCGATGGAGGTGATGACCGTGTTGATGAAGCCGTTCACCGTCATCCCTTGCAGGAAGGAGGCCACGCAGAGGAAGAACAAGATGCCCTTAGAATTGTTAAAGAGCTGTAAGCACCCAGGGGTGAACCCCCCCCAGCCACACACCAGGTCCTCCCCTTCGGCCGACACATATTTAATCCCTTGGCTGAACTGGGTGTCCTCCTCTGCCGGGCTGGTGGAGCAGAGGGGCTCAGCGCTGGAGCTGGAGGGGCTGGGCACGCTGGAGGACGTGGTGCCATTCCTCAGCAGGGTGCCACACACCTCCTGCCTGCTCGGGGGCTCAAAGGTGTGGCTGGGAGAAGGAGACGGGCGGGAGAAGTCGAGTGTCTGAGCAAAACAAAAGCCATTTTCTCCAGTTGAATTCTGGGGCATTGCCATGAACAGGAAGGCAGAGCTGAGCAGCAGGTCACGGTGGGGCTGGTGGCTGGGGTGGCTTCGTGGGGACTTGCTTATCCAGGAGATGCAATTTTTGGCACTTACATCAGCAGGGAAACAGGAAAGTTTCAAGCCAAGATCATTCTGATCTGTGAAGAGAGAATTTTTACACATACATTTATATAAAACCATGATCAAAACCATAAAATATTGTTCCCTTCCTTTTTTCTTTTAAGAAGTATTAGCAATCCACTGTGCAGCAGGCTGTGTGCCTCCCCATGGGGGTGTTGGTACCCCAGGTATTGGGGCACCACTAGTATTACAGAAAAAAACCCAAACCCCAAAGATTCCATTTATGAATGAAAAAAGAAAAAAGGCACCTCTGAAAGCAGCTGAACCCCTTATCCTTCCTCTTGAAGAGACCCTGCTTGGACACCAAACGCTCACTCTGCCACCCACAACCTTCCTCTCCTTCCCTTCAGAGGACAGCACCCACAGCCACAAGTTCCCCACTGCTGAAAGCCCTTTGGTCTCTCTTTCACACTCCGTCAATAACAGTTTATAATTATCCTGAAAACTTTCCACAGTCAGACTGACTTTATCCCAACCCCTCAGATCTGTTTACAACTATTCAGTAAAATCCTTTCTTTAACTAATTAGACTGCGTGCCATTTGAGAGTGAGCTGGAGGGCAGAGGCAGCTGACTCTAACCTGATTACTGATGCAGGCTGCCTTTTTTCAACTGGTTCCTGTGCATCTCAGCACCTGATCATGCTGGCAACCAAGAGTATTTTTTTTAAAAAAAACCTTGGCTGAACTATAAATATGAAAACTAGAAGGTTCTCCCTTGAATGCTGATCTTAAATGCACAACAAATGCTAGGCAAGAACTGGTTTGTTAGAGAGCATCTCCAAAGCATCCTGTATCTCCCAATATTTTTGGTCAATATCTGTTCAAGAGGTTTCTATAAAAACGTTCCACTTGAAATGACAATCAGCTTAATGGACAGAGAGCAGGAAAAACAGACACTTGTTTTTGCAACAAACTAAACCTTGCTCAGATCACTGGAACCTGGGAATATTGCCTCCTTCAGTGAATAAATCAACTGATCTGTGTGCTGCTTGAAAAGCTTATTGACATTGGCTTGGAAACAATATATAAGAGTGCTTTAGCACTCTAACTTTATTGAAGTCAAAAGTGATTATTAGGTCCTGTATCAGGCTCTAAGGGGCAGAACTGGTTGTGTTACCCTGATGTAAATCCAAGGCACCTCTTGCACAGCAGCTGGCTTCCAGCTGCACACTTCCCTGGTGCTGTATGTGACTGCAATTGTAAGAAGGTTGCTTGGCTGGAGACTGCTTTTGCTGTCACTGATTTCAGTGGATAAAAAGGAGCTCATGTCTGTTAGTTAACTGATGTGACCAGGAGCCAAGAGGATGCACCTCCCCAAAGGATGCACCTTCACCCTGGAGGAAACCCTCCTCTTGCCTCTTTACCAGCACTGGGTATCTCTTTTGATATTTCATTGATATATATTGATACTTCAATAGTTCACGAGTCAGGGAAAAGATTACAGCTTCTCATTCAAGTTTTCTTTTCCTTGAAGTAACAGGAGTCTGGGTCATCAGAGCCAGGCAGTGGTATCATCCTCCCCTTGGCTCTGATTACCCTTAATCCTACTTAACAATAAATACAGGGTGAAACATTTCCAGGAAAGCAACCCATCCTTTCTCCAGGTGGCAGATGTTTCCCACTCCCTTCCCCAGAAGCCTCCTTTGCCCCCAAAGCCAATATCCTGGCCAGATCCCAGTGGACTTGGGCTAATGACTTGTACCCA